CACTGTTCCCGACCGCAATGGGAATCTTCAACCGTTCAAAGAAATAGACCTCCTGCATTGCCCTTCTCTACATAGCTAGTTTTGACAAGTGGGCCTGTTCAAAGAGGAAATTTCCGAAGAGAATCCGCCCGGCCTCTCCAGCTTCTGGATGATACACTAGCGAGAAGTCCTGACTTTGGTGTTTTGCTGTTGGAGGCGCACTGAGACTTACGTGCACGTACATCAAGAGGTTTGCCCAAACTGGAAGGGGCGGAAGGCGGATGCAGAATATTCAGCAAATGACCAAGTCTCTCTGGCTACGATGGCACAAGTTTTAAGCATCGTCTTGATCCAGCAAGCAAGCCAGCAAAGAAGGCTGCAGAAGAACCTGCTTCTGAGGAGAGCAGGCAAAGGAAAGCTTAAACCTGCTCAGAAGTCCTTGCTCAGAGGTCCTTGCCTGCATTCATTCAAATTCATGATCAGATTTGCTACCTGCTCGAAAAAACTTAGGCAGGCGACATCTCTTGCAGAAAGCTCCTTCATGAATGTTTCATTGCTGGCCGGCTCGGGGCTTGCCACCCTGAACCAGATCTTGTAAAATTTCTCAGAAACTGAGAAGGCTACGCGCATTGGGTAAAGCGGTACGGATGTGGGGAGAGATCTCGAACTTGCAGCCATCTCCTTTGCATCCCTCAAACCATACGTCGAGCATTCCCCGCAACCTCTCGAGCGCTCGCAAACCCACACAATCCAAAATCAGTGCAGAATTCGTTGATGAAGGAATGCCTTAAAGTTGGATTTGTACGCCTGCGATATTTAAAGGAAGGCCTTTTCTTGCGGAATATTTCCTGAAGAACTAGACAGATGACTACCCCGAATATGATTGAAGCCATTCCCTCAATCAAAGGGTTCAGATGTTCAGCAGACTAAAGCACGCAATGCCATGTCCTCACCCGCCACGATGAAGGTGCAGGACTCCGCAAAGTTGGCCTCGTTCTGCCTGGGCTGCTGTTTCCCTAAGAAGATTGTAGGGTGACGAAATTCTTGATATAGACACCAGGAAAAATCCTAGGGCACTGTGAGATGGGTATTTACACGACCGACGCTAATGCAAAGCTTTCATTTCCTCTCTGCGAAGCCAATCATTGAACCCCGCAGCCGGAATACAGATCTGAACCCCGAAGCCCGCCTTTACAGAAGCCCGCCCTTAATCCCGAACTGCAACCAAGCTACTCCAAGGCATTCAGCAGCCATGAGATGCCTCTGCTAAGGGCGTTACAGATCTTAAGGTAGGCTGCCGGGACTGAAGATTTACGCTTTTGTCGGCTTCAGGTATCCTAGGTCTATAGACTATACATAGTATACGCAGTGGAGGGTATGAGAGGAGAGATTTGGGCTTTGGATTCCTGCAAGGGTTCAAGGAGCATCCCCACTCAGATTTGGAGGCCCTATCGAGACCCACCTTTTGCAGCATGCAGAGATTATTTGAGCCTTGGGCCTTGGGTGAGTGAGTGAGTAAAAGAATTGAAGGACCATGTTCAAATCCACTCCAAGAAACGTAAGTTTGGCAACTTTTGGGACCTTCGGGGTTTAGATTGCGTGTAGGATGTGGAGCTTGAGTTCCGCACTCGTGGGCTTTCTCTTCAGGGTAGGAGCTATCTTAAGATCTAAGGCGTTGGCTTGAGATGCAGGTGCCATGGCAATGGCAGGTTTGGAACATTCCTCAGCAAGAACCGGCTAGACGGGATAGGATGAGTGCCAAAACTACTGCAAGGTTCATACCTGCCCTGCGATGAAATATAGAATTGCAAGCTGGGTAAACATGTTGGACCTGAGAGGTGCGCAGCTCAAACCCTGAACCTAAGCCCTCGATCCCACCTTCGATCCGCCATTCGTAGTCTCCTTTGACCACCACCTGGACGCAGTTTTTTGGAAGCATCATCACCATGACTGTTCGTTATCGCTTCTGCGTGGACGCTGCTCTATCATCAGCATACCTGCTACTTTCCCTTACAGAACCTCCCTAAGTCACAACGCGATTACCCAGAGACGTCTCCTGCACCTGCTTATACGACTTTGATCGCTATCAGTGATTGGAGCGCAGGCTTGGTTGGTCACGAAAGCAAATCCAGCGACATTCCCAGTTCTGCATAATCCTTGGAGACGTACTTAAACATGAACCCCAAACTATCCCTGGGGTCTAATCTGTTTTGGCCATAAAGACCCGAAAGCTGACAAGACACATCGGCTGGGGGTGCCCAATTTGTTCAGTGTCGAGGTTTAAGGGTGTATTGGTTTTGGGTTTAGAGATTAGACTCTTCATTCTTTAGGGTTTTGGGTCTGGGTTTTTTCAGCTTGAGGTCAACCTTATGATCCAGTGACAGCTTGCATGGGTCTAGTGGATGTCCATTTGCCCATGTCTCAAAGAGTGTCCCCTCTGACCTTCCAATCGCCAAATCCTATAAGCTGATCAAGGACAGTCGGACAGCCGCGTCCAGCCCAAAGAGAAGATGACCGGGGGAAGAACAAGACGAAGAAACGTCCAAAATACACACTTGAAATCAGGCTTACTGAAAACCAGAGCCTGTGGTGTACTACCAATATGTAATTCCAAGTTAATATTCCATCAGCCACTCCTCCCAGTGATACATTCGAAAGGCTACTTAACTCTCCGTTGCCCTCCCCTTACGAAAAAACCAGCCCGCGGCTTTGAAGGCAAAGTTCCGCATCATACCAAACCAACCCTAAACTCGGGCCAACAGAAAAGCAGTTTCACAAAGAGGGTCCTGCCCTTGACCATAACTACCTCGCCCTACACCCTGGACAATGAGGAGTTTTGTTTACTATTGCAACGAGGGGTTTTCAAAACGTCCTCTGAAGGTTGAGGTTTCAATGAGTACACGTTATGTAACCTACACCCTGTAGGTTGCCCAAACCTGAACTCTGCTACATCTAAAGAATTTGCAAGCGGAAGACCTCGCTGCAGTGGACCAGCTCCCCATTACTTCCTGGGTTGAACCGAGGTGGTGGTACCTCCACAGTCAAAGTCATCTTCTTGGAATAAGGCTGACAGTTGGGGACCTGAATAATTATCGGCAGTTTGCAGCGAACTCAAGCTTAGAAGTTGGTTGATTACGATTTTAGGGCTTACATCACTATCATCAGGTATACACGAGTTTGTTGGGAGTGGTACTGTTCCTAACGTGAGCCTTTACACCTGCCTCTGACAGTGCAGGTGCGAGAATAAGAGGTGCAGAAACAAGGGCAGTGGTGATAGCCACGGTAACACCAGCAGCGGCAGCAGCAGCAGCAGCAGTGATGGCCATCAAAACTGAATACTGCAAACAGGACCAACAACATTGATGCCGCCGACGTTCTAGGTGGTGGCACTGATTCTGGTCCTAGCTGAAGCCGCGGCTGCGCGACCGGTCATGGTTGTGGTTGTGGAGGGTTGGCGCTGGCGGCGGTTGTAGGCGGTGGGTGGCGTCGGCGGAGGGTGGTGCGAAAAAGAAGAACAAAAGATTTTGCAAGCAGCCGAGTGTTCGGGCATCCTCTTTGTACCGTTCAGACCCTGCCAGTGCTGGTCTGAGTGATATTATGCAGACAGCCAGCTTCTGAAAGTCTAGATGATGAATCAATGAGTTGTGAACCCTTTCCCGATGCGAAACCTTAGCAGAACCCTAACTGGAAGGGGAGGTTCTCAACATATCAATATCGTGGGCTGGACGCCTTTCAACATGCAGTGGCGTGGCTCGATGGCCTAACTGTCTCAAGTTGCCCTGTATGTAAGACTATGTGGGAAGCCTCAGCAAATATCGGTACTGCTTGCTGCCTATGGCAAGGGATTGGGCTTGCAGCGTCTCGCGGATGAGCGCTGTGGATCTGAGATTACTTTCAATCATGGAGTGGATAAGAGCATGGTTAGCTGGTAAAGAAAATGCAGGACAGCCCGTGGTAGGCTTCTAGACGCAACTATTCCAGAAGATGGTTCGGCACTGCTTCTATGGATGGTTGAGAGTTTGAAAGGAGCTGCCATCCCCTAAGTCCTAATCCAAAATCCCAACAACAGACCGCGGACGCACCTCCAGGGGCTTCACGCCATCGGAAGGGGTATTTCCCAGCGCATCTGCATCTACTAGGCGCCTGTAATTGCATTCGCAATTGTTGATGGACTCCTGACAGGGAGACATTGGGCTGCATGCAATCCTTGCAACAATCCTTTTGCTTCCTACATTGACCTGCAGATTGCCCTGATACGGATTTACAGTACAGATCGTGGGGAACGCGTTGTCTCTTTGCACCACCTAGGTAGACCAGCCCCTATTACGTGTGCTTAAGCTCTGAATCCCCAAATGCATCACAATAGATCCCTACGTAGCCGCTCAAGTCCCTTCAAAACTCAGCGATCCCTGCCTTGCGCTGAAGATCCTACAGCACTGAAACTGCGGCCTACCCAGCTCCTGATAGGAGATGTGCTTCTGAACCTCCTCCAGCTGTCGTCGGAGCTTTTGTCTTTCCTCTGCTCTACTTGACTCCTCCTTTAGCCGGATGTTGGCCTGGCAATCTCCAGGAGCGGGTGGAGTTGGGTTTAGGGATGAAAAGCATAGCTCTTCTACAGAAGATATGCTCATTTGATCCGGGCACGAGATCCGTGTCGATGGCAACGTCAGCAGTATGAGCTGCAATCATAGTAAGATTCTAGGAAGCAATGAGTACCCCTCAAAAGGGACTCACAAATCTTCGAAGCGGCCACGTCTTTAATGGATTGCAGGGGTGACAAAACAGATCAGCGACCTGTATGAATGAGCAAACAGTGCAAGAAATGAGTGCAGTGGTGCATTTGGATGTCTTTGGGCTGGTGAAGTCTGAGCTCCTGAAGCAATCGGGGAAGTTGAAAACGGTCAAGTTATACATCCAGAGTAAGAAGCTCGTCATGGAGGCATTCACTGAGGGCACAAGAAGATGCCGGTGTTCTAGTGTACAACAGTAGTAAGCTGGATTGGTTGCCGTGGAGACCTGAAAGGCTGGAGCACCAGGTGCATCCGGCATGTTGCACAATCTGTGAAGGTACGATGTTCCGTAACTATCATCGATGAAGCCAACCCACTGAATCGCCTGCTTCCTTTCTTCTAAGGTCTGCTTGGCACCTGCGATCTGCGCGTTAAGCTCCTGTGCGCTTTTTGGCCGCTGTCTTCTGCACGCATAGGGGCCCTGTGACATGATGGTCCGTACTTCATCTGCATTTCGTGCAAAACTAGGCAGTCCTCATTACAAGCAGCTCCCAAGTTGGGCCCATGATACGCAGGTTCCCTCCAAACCCTCCCGTCAAACCCGTTTTCTTAGATGCTGCATGTTGTCACACAAGCCCTATTTGTCCATGTATCACGTGTTTACCTGAAGGCTCCTGTGTCGTTGCCATGGGCCGCGGCGGCATGAAAGCTGCCGGCACGAAACGGTGGAACTGGAGCCGTGGATTTGCGGGTGAATTCAGAAAACATGTCAGATACTCTTGAGGGAGTTGAATAGGATGAGAGAAAACTTACTACAGGGTTGTTGGGGCAGCAAGAGGCTTCTCAAAAGTAAGGCGCCTGAGATCTTGAGAAGGTTGTCCATCCAACCCTAAATCAAATCTTGAACTGGCGGGAAGTCAAGGTAACACGACCACTTTCCAACTTGGCATTCTTACCCCAACCGCTCGCAAGGCTGGTTGCGCGAATAGCTAAAGCATTACTCCCGCCACACATGCAGGCATCTGAACGAACCCAGGAAAAACGACGCTGAGGGATACCTCCCAGATACGAATTGGGTTCTCGAAAGGACTCTGCCTCTTTGCAGGACCAGGAGCACTTCATTCTTGAGATCCCCATCAAGACATGTCTTCCCTCATTGATTTTGTCAACTGAGCTAAATGCGTGTCCCATCGGAGATCAACTTTGAATTGTTGGTGGGAGCTAAGGTTTTGGGCTTTGGGCCTTGGGCTTGTGGGTGCAGACCCTGTGTAGCCTGACAGGCCCGCCACCCTCACGTTACTCTTTCGCAGCGGTGGGATTGGAGATTAGACCTGCAGGCGCTACGGACCCATACCAGCTTCGTGTACGCAATAAATAGAACCGAACGACACGTACATGCATGGGGCTGCAGGATCACATGACCAAAGCTTCCGAAACACGAGCTGCTGAACCAATGCGTGGAATCAACTGAAATAATTCAACAGCGGCAACTCAATTTTTGGGAATCAATCCCAGGGACAATACCCACCCTCCCGCCAAATAACATGGAACCCAACAAAAACTGCTCAATCTACAATCTTGTTTTCTATCTTGGTCTATATATATATATATATGTCTATGTGGGGTTCCGCATCTATTTGGGAGAGGGTTGATCCAGCCCTACACCCACAGGCGGCGATTCAATCAAGTCTACAGACCTTACAAACGCTGCAGACCCTCAATATTATCAACCCTAGATCAGACAGCCCGCATACACTCTCAAGCCTTGGACTCTCAAGTGCTAGAGCCTTTGCTTTCTCAATCAAAAACCACACAACTACTGAGTAACTGAACCTTCCACCCAAAGTACTATAACCCTGAAGCCCTGCAAAAAAATGTACTCCCGACCCCTACACACCCTCGGCCATGAAAAGACAGAAAAGACTGTTGCAGCGTGTATAGAACTTTTTGCCGTAACCCCATAACCCCTTAGCCTCGCAACACTGTATTACGTGAATGTTACAAATCCTCAACCGTATAAGCTAAGCCCCATGAAGTTACACTTCCTCTGCCATGGCTTGGCCACAAACCCGCTGCCCCGTGGTCGGTGGTCTGAGAGCGGACAGGTGTGTGAGCACCTTGAAATGGGAGGCCCTTGCGGTTTTGGAGTTTCTGGGTTGTCCACACGGAACCCTAAACCTGCGACCAAATTCCCATAAGAGGATGCACAGAGCCTGTAGAAGTGAGCTTTCATTATTCGCGGCCCGGGTTCAGTGATGGGCCCCGCCCGGCCTTCGGCTTCGAGTTTTGGATTCTGAGTTTTTTTACAGGCGTCCACTTCCTAAACGCGCGCACTGCCAGTGTGGGATCCTTTTGCCAAGATCAAAGTCCTTCCTTGCATGCCAAAGTGATGCAGCTTAAACAGAGAAGAACTCAAAAGACACAAAGACCCAAGGGGAGGGCTCTGGGAGATGCATTGGACTTCAGGGCGTTTGAAGGGCCACAAAGCACAGGATCCACAAAACTGAAATACGTGATTTGGGTTTACGAGAATCGCACACTGGGGGATACCAGGTAGCCCAAGTACCCTATACCCTTTAAGGGTGATTCCGCAGAATCCTGTATGTATGGCCAGTTGTGTTGCATGGGGAAGGGACAAAACTGAACAAAAGCCCTGCAGCCTGGATCTCAAATTCCAAGCGCCCGGCATCAGCCAATGCCGACACAAATCCTGGGCCCGCAGTCGCTACCTGAAGCCAGCGGATGCAGGTTTTCAAGAATAAGAGTGCAGGGCATATGTAAGATTAGGTAGGGTTGAAGGAAGCTAGGCTCTCTTCGGCTTCCTGCATTGTACTCTGCTGAAGTTAAGCCAAGGCTGAGCAGCGCACTTACTGATTGTATGACTGAACAGCTCAGGGGTTTCAAGCTCCATGGGTCAGAGTTGGGCATCGCCAGGGCTATAGGATACAACCCGGCTTCAGGTTTTAGTGGTTTATGTGGAGTCTCGTGGGTCAGATAAATGTGGTCTGAGATGTGGTTATATATCCCAGAAGATCAGCCATAACTAGTTGGAAGTAGTAGGTGCAGCAATGAGGGAATAGGGGGTTCTTGAGATGGAAGCTGATCCCTCTTCGCCGCACCTAGCATGGGGCTAGCAGAGTCGAGCCAATGTCTTCTGGTGCTACCTCTGGAGGTTCCTCAAGAAGCGGACGCTTCTGGACGCTAGAGATATGAGGGATTTCAGGAAGGCTGTCACATACCTGCAGCTTGGTATAATTTGCATCCTACGTCCTATGTGGTGCAAGATTTCCTTCATCTAGGACTCAGGCTTCAGAAGTCAGATGGGTTTGGCACTAAATCTCTTTCAACCTGCCAACACCTTACTCACACATACGTAAGCCGCCACATACACAAAGTACGAGACAAAAGCTTCTTTGAAGGGTCATGGGACTGAGTGACTGGTTTTTGTTGAGGTCATAAATTTGCTTAAAAGCCCTCGAACTTTTTTCGCATAGGTTATCCCAATTCTAAGTAAAGCTATAAAGTCCCATGAATCTCCCAGCAGATTCTGGCCGCATCTGTGAGAAGTTTTCCCGCAGCTGGACGCCCGTGCTTTGCACAAGGCTTAACACAACCCTGGACCTAGAAGCACAACTCGCCTCGAACCCAGATTCAGACTCTACAGGCTAACCTTATACCATAGACACTCTGGACTCCCAGGAGAAGCAGCCAAGAAAGCGCCTGCTGGCCGGGATCATCATACGGAAGCTCTTCCTCCTGTTCCTCTTCCATTTGGATGCCTGAGCTGCACTTGGAGGGTTTAGGCTGTATGGTTTAAGGTTTGGCGTTTTTGGGGGCTTATGGCGTGACCTGGGCTATCACTGGGACCTTCATGTGAAATCCGGCCATTGTTTTCAATTCTGCACACTCCCTGAAAGCCGCTGCGGTAAACCTTATGCCTTATGAACTTCCCCATGCTGCGAGCCTGTTCAGGCTCAACCAGGAAATCGAAATGACCGGTGTTTCCTTCTTGCGAGTTTCTGCCTGTTTGGGGGTGCATGTGAGCGGCTTTGTGTAGATCGATGGCATTGTTCTGTGACTCGCCCATAAGCGATTGCACAACCCAAACCAAGTGGATCCTTGATGTAGCCATCCGGATACGGGACATCACACCTTTTCAGCATCCTCACTCCAACCTGACTGAAGCATATAATCTTCAGGGTATAGCTCGAAAAGGCTTCATACTACGCCCGAAAAATGGCAACGAACCCTCATAAACCGCATCCATTAGCCCAACAGGTCCCGCGCCCACAATAGTGCCGTTTAGCCGGCACAACCTCGTCTGCGACGCGGCCTCGGCTTTCTCGGCTCTTGCGAGTTAGGGTTTGAAGTTTACTACGGTTGAAGGGATTTAGGCTTACATGAGGCTTACGGTTTTGGGTTGTGTTAAGGAACCTTCGAGGTTCAGAGTTTAGGATTTTCAAGCTGAGGCATTCAGGATTTACTTTATGGCTCGGGAGAACCTGGGTCTATGGTCCAGAGGTGCAAAGGTGCGAACTTTTGAGGAACTTCTCTACAACGGGTACCTTTGGCGTCCCCATACATGCGCGTAGACACATAGGGAGTTGCAAAGGTCGTTGAACAGGAATTGCAAAGTCTGGTCACTCTAACACCCCGATTCTCAATCAAAAAACCCTCAGCCCCAAACCATCAACCATTTAGTCCTGCACAAGAATCCATAAAGGCCCCAAGCCCAAACCCCTGTCTGATTTGCAGGGTTCGAAAAGGTTGGCTCGACCCAACAAGGGAATGCTGATGCTAGACGTATGGGAGTACAGGGGACTATAAGGACCAGGGTCCTTCTTAAAAATGATTTCGGGCTTGCTCCAGGAAATGCTCATGTCTGAGGTTTGGTAGCCTGTTTGAACCTACAACAAGTCCTGGTATGATTGCTAGCAGGCTCCCCAAAAATCAAACGCAATTTCGCCCTTCGCCAGATAACGATCTTCTGTTTCAGGGTCCAGTTCAGGCATCCAAAGCAACAGAAAACGGCAGAGCAGCATGAGCAGCATGATAATCGTTATGCTCCTACACAACTTTCTTGGGTTTGTCTTCCTCCCACAGCTCTCACCTTCCAGTAGTCTTGCCACCAGGACACATCAACAAAACACCCCTCCATACGAAAAAGAAAGCTGCAGGACGCATGATGTGAGTTGTAGTTGGAAAGGCAGATGCAGATGCTTCTTCTCCAAAAATTTCCGTCATTAGGGTAACATCCCCAATTTCGGGAGCACCATTGATAAATACCTTCTCGCAACAAGGGTGCTTTTTGTCCGATTTTGGCCGGGAGGTCTCCTGAACAAGCATCCTACTATTTGGGAGTCTTTAAGGAAGGCTACTGTTTTGCAAACTTCCCACAGCACCTCCAAGTAGCACTGGAGCCCCGAACCCTAAACGAAACAACGAAGCAAACTTGAACCAATTTGGCGTTCTGGCAGTCCAGGGCTCTGGCCCATGTGGGAGCATTTAAGGAAAACCAAGTGTACTTTGGACCCAAAGCAGCGGCGGCCAAAGTAAGTAACTTCTTCAGGTACAACTCCGAAGTCTTTTCTGGAAGGCATACATGATATAGTCACGAACGCAAGCTCTACTTGCTGTTGGTGGGGGGAGCAAGATGCTAAAGTGTTCTGGGATACAGCAGGAATGTCTCAAGCAGATCCAAGGAAGCTACTACCTCGCTGCTTCACAGCCAGTTGCTGAAGGGGCCTAACTACTCAAAGTAGGATGTTGACTCAGATGTGAAGCTTACATAGATTGCAAACAAAACCAATTACTCTGATATTGATATTGCGCAATCCGGCTTGACCCACCAGTTGCGCCTCAAGTCTAACAGTACAGGGCCCATTTTGGGTCATGCTAAAAAAGCGACTCATAATTCTGAACATCCTCACACGGGCATTTCATAAAATCCCTCTCAACGAGACAATGGGCCAATACCTAAACCCGAAAGCCACACTCCGAAAAAACCTCTCGAAAAAACAAAGATCTGAGGCCTTTCCATGGCCAGCTTACCGTGAACAATGCGGCTCCGCTTCTTTTGTGTGCCAAAATGGGTTCCTCAAACCCGACGGTTTGCTCCTAAGACAAAGGAGACCTCAGGCGACTGAAGGTCTCGGTTTCAAAAGAGCTTCTGGGCGTCCAGCCTTCGTGGGCCCTCAGAACAGCATGTTGGCATCCTCCACACTGAAGCAAAACCTCCCCCCATAGGAAGACAACGCCTTGCAAAACGACCTTTCACAGGTGAAGGACTCAAAATATTGCCGAACAAAATCACCAAAAACTTGACATCGGCTCGCAGATCTTGTCTCTGCGTTTTCGCAGAACGGCAAAAAGTTGTTGCAAACAGGAAGTCAGCCTCACTAGGTTCAGAGCAGGGACAGCTGCCCTTCTGCCTTCAACACTAATCACTAATCGTCTCCTAAGACCTCCCTCCAAACCTGTTCAGCTCTTTCCAAAACGGCTGAAATGTCCGTGCCAGTTTGGTGGGTGACGTGGTTGTTCCTCTGCCACCGTCATGACTGCGATCAAAGCGCGCCGGACATTTGGAAATCGCTTGAGCTGCGCGGGTCAAAGGTGCAATCTTGCAGTTCTTGGAATATAACAGAAACTGCGCGTAAAACACCTAACAAGGCGTGTCTTTGTGGTTCCGGGCCAGCTCAGAAACTGTATCAAAGCTTGCTCTGTACAAGCATGCTGCCAGCTTCCATAAGCAAAGCAGCATATCTGCGCAAGCGATGGCTCTCTTTGCACAAGGCTTCACGCTTGTAAGATATCAGGCAAGCTGCACAAGAAAAGAAACCCTGAAAATTTCTCAATGAACCCTACTGGTCACTGTGCTGAACTCCCAGACTGCAAACTATTTAGCAAGGAGAGTCATCGGCAAATGATCTACGCGGAGGTGTTCTTGCCACATGGCTTCAGGGACCCCTGGACCACCCCACGGTCCAGTAAGATTTTGTGGCTCCAAACATCTACACAAAAAACCAGGCAGCCTCGCGTTCAACAGACATTGGCATTCAGCAGATATACTAAGTACTGTATATCAAATAGAAGAACGAAAGATAATCATACCAATAATAACAACAATGATAGTAGCTAATTTGGCAAACGCCGCTGAACAGTAATTGCTGCGATGATGGTGTTCTTCATGATAAGGTCCTCTGTGATGGCATTGAAACATCCTGTGCTTTCTCCGCCAAATTTATTTGCAAACCAACCGAAAAATGCAACCAAATTCTACCATGCACTGCTTCAAAGGACGGGCCATTTCTTCAGCACGTTGTATCCTCAGCAGGCAAAGGCTCTTGGTTAAAACGTTCGTATTCCAGTTTTACGATAGCTGACAGGGGGAAAAGGTGTCGGGGGCACATAGGGCTGCATTTGGATACTCATCAACAACGGTGTCCCAAATTCATTGATGCCTCACCCTTGCAAGGGGGAGCAAAAACAATCCATGATCTTTGGAAATGTTCATGCCACCCTCATCGTTAGACAAACCACCAAGCATCTTTCCCTCACGAGAGGCAGAAGAAGTGCTGCATGCCGAGTTCGCTCGGGCGACCACGTCAAAGGCAGTCAAAGCAGCTGATCTCAAAGCGGCAATGCAGTCAGCAGACTGGAGAAGACATGCTCTATGAAACTCCGAAAAGCCAACCCGCAGTATATAAACATACAGCCATTTATTCCGTCTTCAAGGGGCTTCACAATTTAGTGGGCAAGCTCTATCCACGGTGGCCTGCCTCAGCAAGTGGGGTCGTCTGCTAAGCCCATCTCGGCCAACAAACGCTGTCCGTGCCGCGTCCGTTGCAAATCAATGGAGGACGCCTGCCGCAGGTCATGGGGAGCATGTAATGCAGGGAATTTCGCCCTCATAAAACCGGGAAGGCATTTCTTTGGTGGACCTCCTACTTATAGCTCCACCAATGTTCCCAACCAATCCTCATACACGTGTAGATTTATGTGCACACTCACCAGGCCCATATGGATTTCCGTCAAGCGTTGAGGGCAAAAGAGGATGCCAGTGTGTAGCTCTATGGGGCCTTTAGAATGAATTGTGCTTGGTGCACCATAGGGGTGATATGGGATACGCGGGAGTCAGAGGGCGTATTCAGGGATAATGGAAGTAACTTGCAACTCTCCAGATCTTGTGATGTACAAGACAACGGCCTGGCAGTCTGGTGCCCCAAACCATGAATCCAGAAACCCTAACGATAACCTCTGAACCCTGAACCGTAACTTCCCCTAAAACTTTGCCTCAAACACCTAGAACCTGAGGCCCTGAATCCCGAACTCCACACCTCGACCTTTGGACCCTCTACATAATCTCGCAGCACCAAGCTGCCTGGATCCTGGACAGTGCCTCCCGGGCATCCACCCTGTCCTGAGCAAGGCGATCCTCCCTAACTTTACATGTGCACATACGTGTCTATAGCTGTAGACTGTAGATGTAGGAAGATACATGGTATGCACACATTTGCGCAAGTGATTATAGAGCCTGTTCACTGCATATGGGGTTGATGACGGGAATACAGGGATCAGCACTTGCAGTCTAGGGTTTACCTTGGACTAACATGCAAGCCAGAGCTTGAAAGCGAGGCTAGTAACTAAGTTACTGCTAGTATTTGCGGTGCCTCTTTTCATGTTCCATGTTCCGTTGGGTTACGTGTGCAAAAGCTCGCACAAAGCAGATTTTAGTGCGGGCTTCGGGATGCTCGTCTGCGTTTAAGGGTGTGGAGGTCTCGGGGGTCTCAATACGAACACCACAATCCAAAGCACTCAGCACTTGAAGGCCCGTCAGTAGTTCAGGAATTGCCCGAATACGGGCAACAACGAGCAATCAACATGCGTATCCCACTTCTACTGCAGAACTACAACACCCATTAAGCCTCAAGGTATCCCTAAGAGCAAACCTCCAAGGAACGCGTTCAAGCTCAAACCCCTGGTTCATAAGTGACAGCTTGACACGATGGGAGCTTGTCTTACATCAGCCCTGACATGCCAGAAGGCCCGTCGAAATCCCCATTCAGAGCCTTCAGGAAAGTCTTGCAGGTATTTCATTTCTAAGACTTTATTTACGCCAAGCCAGATCAAATCCGGGGCTCGTCGTGCAGGAGCGACTTTGCTACGTAGCACCCAAACTGGGACCTCTTTTCGAAGCGTTTTGGGCTGCTAGGTTACCTCTGAGATTTATGCTTCGACTTCCCAATTCTGTGCTCAGAGCTGTTCTATGTTGTTCAGGGCCTTGCAAAGCTTCGGTTGGGTTGACAAGGTTTTGGAGAGCTGGTGGGATATTCAGGGTGACAACATACAAAGCATGGCGAGGCGATGAGTCAAAACTTAGGCCTTAGAGAAGGTCGAAGCACATTTGCAAATCCTACCCTGGGCTCCATCCACATGTAGCGGGATGCTTGTATTGAGATCCTGCAGATACTGCTCTCGAACTGAATAACTACGATGAAGATGTAATCACATTCTCAGGAACGGCTGGCATTGGAATGAACTGTGCTGCTGACGCCTTTGGAGAGGCAGCAAATTGCCCTTCTACACACACAACATGCTTTGACAGAAGGGGCCTCTTTTTTTACTGGGAGGGAGGGAGCGTAACAGCCTGCTGTCCTCCCCAAGAAACCCCACACCATACATCCCTAAGTCCAACCACCCCAAAATCAAAGCCCAAAGCATGCTCCTATAGTACAAGAATACAATATGCCCTGAAGTGTTCCTCTGGAATGAAATGCGAATCCTAAAGCCTGCGCTTTCTGGTTTCATGCTTCTGGTGCCTTGCCAGATCGACGATCACGTCGGTGCGAGCCAACTGTTTCAGGAGCCACTCCTGATCCTCGCTCTGCAGGGTTTAGGGTCCAAGGTTTAGGGTGAGGCTTTGAGGTTTTTCGCAAGAACTTATGCACTCAGACTCTGGGGCTTAGAATAATTACTAGGGGATGGGAGTTTAGTCTGCCCTATAACGTCGGATACGGACTCTTGCCTGCGTAAACAGGCATCAGGAGATACTGATTTTAAGTGCTTGGGGTTTCGAGGTCAAAGCACGTCAGGGCTTCCGAATCTCAAGGGTTTTACGTCTGAGGATTCGGAGGGTTCAAGAGTTTTCGAGTGCGGGTCGAACCAGCGATAATTCTGTTCCACCAAGCCCTGCAGGATGCGTACATAAAGGGGTACGACTGACCATGTGCTGCGCTTGCAGTGACAAAAAAGCCCTGCAGGGCGAGACCATGTCACTGTCATGTGCCAGCGCAGGTTGTCAACTGCGGGCTAGCCTAGCCGTAGATTGAATACGAAAATAGCCGCATTACCCAGGTTGCTACCCGGGAAGGCGCTGACATGTTGGTAAAGAGATGTAAAGAGGATGTCATGTACAATGATCAATCGGTCTGGAGATTGGAACGCTGAGAAGTGTTCGGCTAACCAATCTGCAAAATTAAGAGATGTTGCTTGCCAGGATTGCTGCAAGAGGTTGGGGGTTGTCATAGCTGGATCCAATGACCGGGTTTCTGCCTTGCCTTTGCGGAAGACTTGTCTTTTGCCTTGGAGCTCAAAACAGGATCTCCCTGGGGACCTCACGCAAATAGAACGGTTTTGAATGTTAAGCATTCTACGAGAGGCATGCAAGCTGGACGCAAATTGATTCCCATTTTCGAAACGGCAAGCTGCAATTTGGCCCTCTCCCATCGGGAGTTTGCTCAAGTTCGGTGCAGGATATCGGGAAATAGCAAGCAGGATGCAGTATCTACATGTCTAAAAACTGACTTGCAAGAGAAACATTATCTCGTAGTTTTCCTATCCCACAACTGATCACTCAGCTGCTCGACGTGAAACCTTGCCTGACACCCCAAAGCCCTACAAACTGGCTTGCAGACTTCAAGCCGTCCTCCGGAGCACAGTACCACATCGCTTTCTCCTAAGGCATGGCATAGTCTGGAGGTAGGATTTTACCTTTTCCGTCTGCAAAGTTGGAGTGCCACGTTTGGCAGGGCCCTGGGCATTGAGAGGAAACCATTACACCCAACTCTTTGACCAAGGCTGTAAACTTACAAACACCACAGGACTGATTAGTGTCAAGAGGGTCTACTGCAAAGATTAACGGGAATCCCATAGATAACTTAGATAACACAGGTGCGGGGCCTTTCTTTTGCAGAAAATCAAGCGGTCAGCCTGAAAAGATAGACAGATCATGACAGATCTATGCAACCACAAAAACCTGAAATGCCACAACCCACCAGTCATACGTCTTGAAGCCTCAACAGGCACTCAAATAGCAAACTAAATCACATCTGCATGTAGAAGTTGGCGGCGTGAGCTTTGCAGGGATTATCCACGTGCTTTACTTAAAAACCAGTCACCACATCCCAGCCCGTCCAAGCAGCTTGCAAAATGCAGCCGACGACTTCAACGAAACTAATTGAACTTACTGGTGACAAGTTTCATTGGCATTTCCTGGGTAAGGTTCCCAACATGACATACTTCAGCTATTTACTGGGCTTCTGCCAGGATATCCAAAATCCCTCAGGCTCTGAACTTGAAATCCCTAAAATCCTATAACCGAAGCCCCCTTGTCCGCATATGGCCTAGGCTCCACCAGGTAGCTAGCATTGCGATGCTTCGCGAAGCCCAGGAGATCTTTACCGAGCACTTTTGCCACGATCTTGCGGTGCCTGGGCAGGATTTGCAACCCTGAGGCTTAGGGTTTGTGGCTGAGGTCTGCTGTTCAGGAAGTTGGGACACAGACGCGTGGGACTGTCGGCCCAGCCAGCTCCAGCCGGGCAAACACAAACATCCAGCGTTCTTCAACTTATTTCTGAAATTCTACATGGCGAATCCAAAAAACCTTCTCCGATACCATTGCGATCAATTGCGAGTGGTGCTTGCAGTGTGCGTCTGGCACACGACTGCTGTTACACCAGCTGGTACTCTCGTCGTCTTTTCCCTTCCTGCATGCTTGAAACCTGTTCAATGAGTTTTGAAAGCACCAAGTCTTCTTGAGCGGGAATTCCATCCTGTGAAGAGTATGCACTTATTTCAAGATGTTGCGGAGGTTCCCGTCCTACATGCGTGGTGCCTCAAGCTTCTGTGCCCGTATTGCGAAATCGTGCTGATTCTGAAGCTGGCTGATTTGTGCGGTGCTCTATAGCACAGTACGCCTTGAGTATCTACGCCATGCAGCGCTCTGAGGCTTTATAGTACATCCCGACCATGGGAAGTGTTGCAGACATTTTGAATATCCATTACTCGTAGTGCTACACCGCTTTTGCTACAGCTAAGCCGTTGCTGCTATGACCTGCTACTGCCTCTACCCCTGCGGCTGCTCTTGTTAAGACTACATAACTACCATTGGTACCATCCTTATACCTGATTGACACTGTTATAAACGTACTGGCAAACATCATTGTCATACAGGGCTACCTCCCCTTCCTTTTTAGCATATAGCATGCAGCAATCACACGAAAGATGAAGGAACGGTACCGACTAATACGACCATACTCAATCTCCTACTCCTCAACCCGAATCCTCAACTAAAGTGCACATTCCCAAAAAAACTAAGGCTGCTATGCGATTGTGCTCTGGCCGCCATGTTTCCTCTCATGGCCATGCTCCAGGACGGACTGCACGACATGATGTCCAAAGTTGTGGCGGCACAAGTCCTTTCCAAACATTAAGACAGGGTTCAGAGGGCTTCGGGGATTGGGTTCGGGACTAAAGGAGGGGGGGATTCGGGGATGACCATGAACGTCAACACAAGACTTTTCTTGGATAGGTGTAAGATTTGCGAACTTCTTGCATAGCCCACCGCAAACATGAACCAGGGCCACTTCGTGAGAATAGTATCATTCGTAAACATCCAGGAGCTTGGCTGAGATCTTGGGCATAGGGCTATATGGCTTCAACACTTCAGGTGCATCCACGCTGTAGGTCTGCGGGGTGCTTTTGATTCTGTCTGACTCTTTCCTTGAATATCCCCACCCTCTCCAAATCAGAAGCAGCCAGAGAACCCGGCACAAAATCCTACATCACCCACGATGTCTAAGTCTAAAGCTCAAAGCCCTACGTCAAGAACCTCGCAGCTTGATGCAAGTCCCATAAGGGACGAGGGTCCTCGGTGTCGAGCATCAGTTCGTCCATGAGCTGAAGTGTGAGATCTCCTAGGAAGAGTTTGGACTCCAAGGTTCAAAATCCTGCCAAGTGTGGAGAAACCTTTTCACGAATCATCCTGCCATACTCATCACCCCACAGAGAAATCCCAAATATCTCAAAGCCTAAGGCGTGAAATTCCAAAAACTGTTGGGAATCCCAAGGGCTGCTGTTGGTGTGATGACTTGCCAGCTCCCCTCTAGGCATTTCAGCCAAACCGCAGGACAAGGAAGACCCATTGCATTGAGATCTGCAAAAGCCTTCATCGAGGCTAGGGACTGTACCAGGAATCAGTTGCTACTCAGATTCCGCAACCTGGCCCACACTAAAAACAAGACCTCGGACCTCAACGCTTAAGTCGCTAAATCGCAGCACTGCATGTCTGGAGCCCTCTGTCAAAACAACTCCCCCTAGACATGAAAGCAGCCTCCTGCCTCAAGGTAAGCATCCCCTATGAACCATTCTGGCACTACAGGGCGAATGCTCCTGAGAGCGTCCTTATGGCCCCATTGAAAGAATCTGCTCTAGGAGAAGGAGTCACGTGCCCTACACCCCACACCATACCCCCTCAACTCCTTCAGTCCTGGACCCCTGAACTCTTAACCCAACACGCCCGGTCCAAAGCCCTGAGCCCTAAAACAGAAGACACAAAATCCAGAGACCAAAAGTGTCCACCCTGAACCAGCATAACTGAGGCCTGACAACAAAAAATTCTCTACCTCGCACTTCCCGCCCTTACCAGTTTGTGGTTTGCTGGCACCATCAACTATTTTCAGCAACAACAAGGAGCATGTCTCTGCAGTGTAGTTCTAAAACAACGCGGCAGCCTGCAAACACAACAACTGCACACTCCAAGCATCACCATTGGGCTGGTGGGCCGGCTTATGTGAGGCTTGGATTTTTCGTAGTTATGCTCTGGGGTTTGGCACTGGGACACCTCGAAGTTGGAAACTGCAGCGTGGGCGCTGCAGGGATATTCTCCGATTGGGCGCTGCAGGCACGAGGCATTGGGGTTGGGTGCGGCAAGGAAACTCTGGGGTTGAGCAGTTGTGTTTCTGGGATTGGGCAATGCAAACTTTGGGGCATTGCGGGGATACTCTGCGGTTGGAAGCTGCAGGGACACTCTGCGTTGGCACACTGCAGAGATACTCTGCGCTTGCTGTTGGGCACTGTCGCACTGTGCGGTTGGGAACTGCTGGATACTGGATTTTCTGCGGTTGGGCGCTGCAGGGATACTCCGTGGCTGGATACTCCGTGGGGCGGGCACTGCATGCAGGGCGAGGAGAGCATGGGCCTCTTAAACGCTAACAACCCGCTGTGAGCGTGGAGAAAATGTTTCTTATAAGTTTTGCGGGATGACACTACAACATAGCCCCAATTCCTGTTCCTTTCTTCGTCTCTCACCCTGGGTCTGGTTGCACAGGCTGGACATTAGCCCAGCTGCGGCAGCCGCAGAACTCCAGGAGACGGCAGAAGATTCGGCACGCGTATCGGTGCCTATTGCGCAACAAGTTCAAGGTTCAGGGTTGAGATCTATTTGGGTTTGGGGACTGAAGGTTTATACGTGGATTTAGAATTTCAGGGTTTTCGTTTAGGTCTAAGAGGCTCAGGGTTTTCTAGCTTCAGGGCTCCGGCATCAAAGCTTCCTTTATTAATACTCAGAACCTACGACCAGATTCCTCATAGCAGGATCCTGCGACATTGGGCTCACAACCAACCAGCTTACAGGTGTCAATGCCAGGTTTCAAGGTTCAGGCCTTCAGGTGTCCGCTGCCAATATGTGTCACATTAATCACATTAATGTGATTTATGTGGGCTTCAGATTGGAAAACATGCACAAGGTTTCAACATAACCTGATTAACGCGAAACATCCTGAAACCCATGTGGAAAAGGACAACCACCTGCAAAGCTGCAAAGATCTGACGCTTCAAAAGAACATCGCCCACTATATCTGCTGCAATACATCAGTACGTATGAAATCTATGTTCACTGAGAGGCAAACTCGCAAGTCTTGTATATCTCAGGCACAAAACACAACCCCGAATCGTCCTACATCCGACCAACTCAAGGCTGCTGTCTCGATGCTTCTACAGCCACTGCTTCTTTTCCTAAGGCTTTTTGATGTCACAAGTACTACTGCTTTTACTTTTACTATCGACACTGACTCCTGCCGCACCTGCTGATTCTAGTCCCCCTAGTGCTACCGACTATCCTGCTCCTCCTGCAGCGGCTGATCCGCAACTCTCACCATCAAACACGGCTTCTGCAAGCTATCTTACAGAAAGAATCCCACAAAGGTCGCCCAGACACTTCTCATATAAAGAACCTGAAAGACATCCTAGCTGATCAAAGGTCCTCGTTCTCGGAAGAAACCGCCTCCTGTGTACCCACTAAAAGCGATCATCATGCCAAATCCCTGAATCCTAAAATCCAAGACACATTCCCCCGAATTCCGAGAACCCCCACATAATTTACAGGGCTAAGTTCTTTTTGTTGAGATATCCTTTGAGGTATGTTTGAGATATGCTACACTACAATGTTCAAGCAATATGGGATGATGATATCAGGAATTAGGCAGGCTTCTACGCTACAGCCGAGAAGCCGGGCCAAACGCCCGCAGGAACCAAACAATTCCCTGACCTCAAAGGCTTGTGGTTTTTAGGAAGTTTTGTAAGGACCATCTCTGGAGCCCTGATGACACGACACGCATTTTGGGCGTGCAAAACGGGACCCCACGTCGGGAACGACCTTAGAAATCCCTTTAAGAACAGCTTAGGATGTTTCCAGTTCAGGCTTTAAGGTCTGGGTAAGGTCTTGGGTGGCAGGGTCCAAAGGTTTGGGCGGAGGATCTTAAGGGTTGGCGCAAATAGACTAGAAGGATAGGGTCGTTCTTCAGACTATGCTACCTGTCAGGCCCTCTTCTCAGATGTCATCTCACACGTGGTGGTACCTGCCGTTTGAAATAGTTTGGAGCCTCAAACGCTTGCCATCATGGCACCTTGTCTTTCGGAACGATGTCCGTTGGCAGTGTTCACTTTGAAGCCGAAGCTCCCAAAGGCGCTTCATTTCTGTGCAATTTTCCAATGTAACATTTGCTCTATATCCCGATGAAGGCGATTTTGCAAAGCAATCTCATCCCCATGACGAGAACCCCAAAGGCTCGGTCAGAAAGTTCAGAAACTCACGCATTGCTTTGTCTGCCTTCTGCGCAAACAGCCCTTCTACCTCCCAGCTTCCATGTCTCAAGGTTGGAACGGCTTATGCGCCAGATGTCCGGAAGAGCACCCCTTCATGAACACGGCAAAGCAACATGCGTACAATGAACTCCAACCAGCAAACCTCTCATTCGCAACCATGCATCGATAAACTGCCTGTATAGCTAAGTGCTTGCGGCATGGGCAGCAATCACATGATGGGTGATCACATTTTGCTAAACCTTGTGCCGACACAGCCGAGATCTCACACCACACCCCACCAAACGATACACCCCTTCTCCAGCCGCGGCGCAACGAAGCTGGAGTTGGCAAACGTCAACGTAGAAATCACCTTGCTGCCGGTTTTGTTCTGGAAATGAGGCTTTGTGGACACAAGTTCTGTGTGGAATCTGGGCAAGCATTTTCAGGAGCCAGCTGCAGCCTGCTCTTACCTGCCCCTTTTTGAGATGAGACGCCTTCTGGATCACGTAGTTTGCGTGGGGAGAGATGGCCGCTTCTTGTACCTAAGCCCAGAATCTATCTCGGCAAGGGGTCAACTTGAGCTTCCTCCTTTAAGGATTTGTTATCCAAAAAAGCGCAATCCGCAACATGTGGAAACTAACAAGCAAGCAAAAGCCGAAGCACGTGTCCGTGCAACTCCCGCGTCAAAAGAGCGGCGGAGTGCTGGTCTACCTCGAGAGCCAGCTGTACGAGCCGGCAGCCTGTTGCATGCTGCGCCAACTGCCACACGTGCCCCTGGAGGGTGGCCAGTGCTTCCTGAACTTCGTCAGCGATTCCGCTGGCCAGTTTAGACCTGAGAGTCTCACTGCGATCTAAGATGGAGTCGTAGGTGGCCTTCTGGATGCGGCCAGCTGAGACGGGTGCCCTCTCCCCAAGTACCGGGGCTGCACGCGTCTGCTCTGCTGCAAGGGCAGCTCGCTCTGCGGCGCGCTTGCGCCTCATCCGGCGGGCGGCACTGGTACTTAGCCTGGGCCGCTCCACCTCGATTGCCTCGCCTCCATCCCTCTCCGCATTCTCCGCGTTCTCTACATCTGAGTGGGTCTCTGGGGTGGGAGCCTGGAGCCTTGGAGTGACCGGACCACTGCCCTGGCTGCTGTTGTCACAGCAGACCCGCAGAACCGGCTGCACCTGTGGCTGGAAGACCAAAGGTACCTGGAGCTGCCCAAGTTGCCCAACTTGACCCTGTATCTGTGGCTGCTGCACAAATACGCACTGCCCTGGCTTTCCATAGAAGGCAGGGGGAGCTGGTACTGCCTGGTAGGACCCTTGGAAGCAATTCTGCACCTGGTCAGCTGGCACCAAGACACCCACAATGACCTGCTGAGGGAAAGGCCCCTGCATCTCTCCCATGGCATTGCCCTCACTAGTCTTCATCAGGCCTCGAGTTCTCTGGCGAAGAAGCTTCGATTTGTGCCTCTGCGCTTCTTAAAATTGTGCTAAGGGCCGAAGCAGGCAGTGGAAGCACGAGCATCAAAATCACACTGCTTCAACATGTCATACTTAAGCGGACTTAAGCGGCAAAAGAAAATCAACAGCTGTGGGCAAGCCGGCTGCCCTTGCGCGTTTTTGCATGGGAGCTCTTCTGCCGCCAAAGCTGAACCCGCCTGCAGCATTTGCTGGTGGCTACTGCTGCTTCAGCGGCTCACTGTGTCAGCCAAAGAGCATGTCAAAGTCATCCTGACTCAGGCCAACTGCTTTGTGGACAACTGGGGGTTGAAAGTGTAAAGAGGGTTCTCATCCAAATGCTGGCTGATCCCGACAGTTTCCAACATGAGGGGCCCGAGCAGGTTGGCCCAAACAATGGAGGGCCCAAGCGGCCATCAAAACAAAGCTGTTGAAATACGTTACTTTTTCTGCTTTCTACACTACGGCGAGTTTGCTCAGATTGCTGTTCTGGCATTGGACAACCAATGTAGGGAACCATACTATACCAGGAATTAGGAACCTGGTATACGGGTACTGTCATCAATCCCACATGCTAGAGTGAGCTTACGGACTGTCCCACCTGTTTCTTCACTGGGCCGCTGGATGCACTTGCACGTGGCGGTGCGGATGTTGCGCCTTTGAGGTCTGGGTTTGGGTTGTGGCGTCAGGTATAGATGTCAGGCTCTAGGGCCTGGAGTCTGGGATGGGACGCTAGGGGCCCCATCTGGAAGCGCAGAACATAATTAGAGGCATAACTTAAGAAGGGTTTTGTGGTAAACGATTCTATCTTCCCATTTCTTGACCCAGCTTCCGAGCATTGGCGAAAAGAACGAATCGTCACAACCAGCACATTATGACAAACACTGTCAGAGCAAGAGTTGTTGGAACCGTGTTCGTTCGGCATTTGACATGGGAGCAGTCGCGACTGTGATCATGAAGCAGAAATTCAAAAACGATAGCCACACAACGACGTCATAATGATGACGACTAGAAAACACCCTAACATCCAAATCACAGCAAGATCTGTAGTTGTTTAAAAAGATTCCCAGTGAGCAAGCTCCGCATACAAACTAATCACGAACGATCAATACCTTGGCCAGCTTGGATATCAGGCGGTACCTACATTTCTGCTGGTAAAACAGATCAGCTTCATGACAATTTACAAGATCTCTTATGTCTTACAAGTATCTGCATCCTAAATTGGCAAACAGATCTAGTGTTGTAAGTACTGGCTCTGCGTCAACTAGAACAGCTGCGTAGACTCTCGTGAAATGAAGCTGTTGCCTCGGCTTTAAATGGCCCTGAACTCCTGTAAGAAACTGAGGGTCCTTCTTGTTACATTTTGAGGATGCGAAGGCTCTCCGAAGGGGGTACTCTCAGGGACTCTGGACAGTGAAGTTCAAAACCCCTGGCTCGAGCCCCTTTCCAAGCGGCTGCTGTCTGCGAGCGAAACTTGAAATTTGGACCCTAGATTTTGGCACACCTCCAAAAATACCTGAAAAACAAGGCGTTCTGCCAGAGTCGGGGAGGATGAGAAAATCCAATGCGTGAAAACCTCGTCTCAAATCAGCAACAATGTCTCTCCCGGCCTAGTCAGGCCTAGTCTTTGGACCCCAAGCCGGAAGAACCCACGTGACTCTCACGGATGCTCAGAGGAATCTCTTCCTGTTCGGGGTAGGGTTTTAGGCAGCCCTTGCATCTACGACTAATACTGAAACTTCAGAAGAACCCTAAACACTTATCAAAACCGTAGAGAAAACCTGGCCTCTTTTGCACTCAAGACCTGTCCCACACAATCTGAAAGCCCCACATTATGAGAATTCTTGCCAAAAAACTGATGCTAGATATGCACTCAACGCAAAAATCTCAAAGTTTTACGCCCTCCATCCCGAACCTCTAGACCCTGGAACCTAGGCCCTTGAACCCCTACACCCTGAACCCGAAACCTCAAAGCACCCTGAACCCTACCACACTCCTGCAGGCCCTGGAATGAAACCCTGGGTCGCCAGACTGTCTCCAAAGAGAAGATCTTCCGAGCCTGCCGAAGCCTTTGCTTTGAAAGCTTTCGGTTTGAGGGCGTCAGGGTTTAGGATTTTGATTTAGGGCTTGCAGTTGGTGGTTTGAAGTGTTGCATGGGTAAAGTACCAGGCAAGCAGCCTGGATGGGTTCTCCGGAATACACACCTAAGTAATTCGTAGGTGAGGGGTCTTGTAGGTTGTGCACCCCGCCATCCGCTCCGCAGCTTACTCCTTCCAGATTCTTTGCCTTGGCGGCCTTGGTGCGTTTCTCTTCAAGTGTTTGCATTTTTTTCACGCTTGGAGCTCATCTTTGCCCTAAGCCAAGACGCAGTGTGCAACCAAGCAAAGCGAGCCTTCAAGCAGTCCATGCTTTAATCTCTTGCTCCGTAAACCGCAACCCTGCAACCTGCGAGTTGGTCATTGGATACTATAGCAGTCACGATGTCATAAATATCTTCCAACTCTTGGTAACTCTACTATGGCAATGAGGCTAGCTGTCGGGGCAGAAGTAAAAGCGCATCAAAGTGTGCATTACAAATCCCAATCCCATAACCCACACCCCCATTACGGTTTACCCTTCAATGCACAAGAGGGCCACACAGCCTGAGGCGACGTGTCCGGCGAGGCCTGGTGCGGACGGAGCATACTGGATGTGGGGGCAAATGTGGCATTTAAGACTTTGAGTTTTGGGGTTGTCTTTTGGGCTAAAAGGGCTAAGAATTTGGGGCGTAGGATTTTGGTTTGATGGTTGAAGACTGAAGGTGAAAGGTCTGGGGTGCATGCCGGAATTCCGGCATTTCCGAATCACATGTCAGATTCGCCGAAGGAACTGAGGGAGCTCGGTCTCCAGGCCTGGGAAACATAATGGGTTGAGGATTTGGCGTGAAGGCTTGAGATTTAGGAATCTTATGTTTTTGGAATAGGTTTCGGGGCTAGGGCTTGGGTGTTGGTTGAGGTTTTTGGTGGAGGTTCTGAGGTAGTTAGATGACGACATGTATCATCTACATGTGTACTCTTGGGAGGGTTGAGCGCTGAGTCTGGGAAGAGGGCCTGGGGATTCAGAATCTGTTGAAGGAAGGGAAGTTCGGAATCGGGGTTGGCAGCTCAGAGAAGCAAAACTTGCGACACTGTATTTTGAACAGTGTGTTATGCGCGCCAGAAGGGGAGGACGACGAGGTTCACGAATTCAGGTCTGGGGCGACAGGTGGGATGTAGGTCTAGGGGCCCTCCTGCAGGTTGCGAGGCTTGGATCTTCTCAGGTTCTAGATCCATTTCATGGGTCTACAAACTTTGCTCTTCTTGCTTCCGGTGTTTTGTCAAAACCCTCTGCCCTAGTTCCAAGATTCCCAAACTTACCAGCTGCAAGCACCGGGTCTTCGTTTCATGAACTGAATGCGCTGGAGCACTTGGAACGTTCAAACCTGCCATCCTCAACCCCCTCAAGGGCCCATGATTTCGCCATCACCCCACATCTGGAGATCTGCCCTGCACATCAGAGTTTCCAAGCTGGAGGATGCACCATTCTCCCTGACTGAGGCAGAAGAGACCATCGCTCAATCGAGCTTCACTTCAAAATCCTGGCAGAAATGCCAGCTGGCAACCGAAGCTCTGAAGTCTGTTCGTTTTTCTCTTAGCACTTCCCTGAACAAAATCTCACAGCAGCGCATGAAATGGTCCAAAAACAAAGTGCATCTCAGACGACGGTTACTTACTCCTGGGTGCCGAACTTGTTGCTGACACTGCTACCCCAGTTCAGTCTCAGTACCTGGCTCCGCTTGGTGATCTCTGCCCATACTACACGCGTGTATGCCAAGACTCATGTAGAATTTCATGCTCAAGGATAACAAGCGGATTCGTTTTTGAACGCACACACACGCAGCAACGTTGAAGGTGGCATTATTTAGTAGTAATAACAGCAAGTTACAGATGCTTAGGAGGTTCCTCACCGGAGTGAAGCTTTGCATGTTCCTTTTTTGCTAGTGCCGTGCGCGCGGCTGCTTTGCATGCTTTGGTGCCTCTCTTTGATGTTACTGCAAGATTTCTTGGACACAAAGACATACTGTCCATGTGGATACCTGGCTGTCGTCTGTAGACCATTCTGTGGGAAAATGTCGCATGGTAGTTGTCACTAGTCAGCATGGTATGCTACATTGCCTTCTTTTGCCAGTCACAATTATAAGGTCCTCATGGGCAGCTGCAAAGACCACATTGTGCACGGTCTCCGCTATCCCTGCTTCAAACAGTTTAACATTTCGAAGAGTTTGCTCTGTTGGCTTGAAAGTAAACTCTGCAATTAGAGATTCTGAAAAATTCGGTGCATTTATGTGTACAAGTCATCATAGAAACCTGAAAGAAGCCATGGATTTGGTGTAGGCCCTTGTCCGTGGGGGTTCAGGAACCGCTTCCTCTGTCTAGCACGTCTAGTGTTCCCAGCGCTGTCCAAGCAAAACCTTGACATGCAGTCCTGTACCCAAACCAGGACACTGATTTGCAATCGCAGCCCATAAAATGTTGCAGAATGCCTTAATACTGGGAATAGTTTTTTAGTGTCAGTGAATGTAGGAGATTTGGGAAGCAAGGCTTAAAAATTCACCTTCAACACTTGCTGACACCTTCGGAATCACCCAATCTGTTGGTGATTGAGGCAACTGTGGAAAATACTTTGGAGGCACCCTTTTCTTTTGCTTCTAGAAATTCAATCCCGAATGAGGCCTGCAGTTTGGACGACTTTTTTGCATTCAACAGAAAGTCTGCTATCAGCAGAAATCCCGAGGCATCCTCGTGTTTAGTGTTAAGGGCTGCTAGGAAATCTCGAACAAGTCTATGCAACCCGCAAGCATGAGCATCTCGCCAAATCGATCATGTGCAGGGAATTTGGGATTGTTACTGCTAATTCACTCGGCCAGAGATGTAGACACAAGTGGTAGTATG